GGGGGGGGGGGGGGGGGGGGGGGGGGGGGGGGGGGGGGGGGGGGGGGGGGGGTAGATGAGGTCGGGATAGGCCGTTTGATCGTTTTTCGAGTCTCGAGCGAAATGCTTAATTTGCACGTCTATACGTGTGGCTTTTGTTCGATCCTGCAGTTGGCATGAGGCACACATGGGTTGCTGGTTGAGGGTAGACTTGGGGGTTATCCGACTCCTCCATGATTGTGGTGCTAGTTCTGCTGCTCCTGCGTTGTACCAGTTTGGTAGCTTGGTTGTGTTTTCCGTTTTTCTCTAGCTCGGTAAGACCCCCCCCCCCCCCCCCCCNCCCCCCCCCCCCCCGCTGGGGATGGGGTCCAGCCAGAGCGGGTCGCGGCCAGAACCAAACAATCTCCCGACCGAACCTTAAGTCTTTTGTCTCCCGATGGCTGGTGTGCTTCCCCACCGTTGGTGCCGTTTTGTTTTGTGTTTACCCTTCCTCCGCTCTCGTCGAATTTTTCTGTCCTGCTCACTTCTTTCTCCCTTCGCCGCCGCTTTTGTCCTAATAATTCCTCTCACACGTCGTCGGGAAGATACACAACAGACCCGCCCGCCTCCAGCGAAACCTCGTCCTCGCATATGGTATGTAATGTTAATCCTGACGTTTTCGTTTTTTTTCGTGTTTTTTTCCTGCTCATCTTGACACCGCTCGCTGCTCGCAGGTCGAGCATCGGGGCGTGGTACGGCGTCCTGGAGTTTGTGGGCAATGCGAGCGTACTTACCAACTGGTACGCGGCTGGGTGGGGGACGGTAGCGCCAGGAACACTAGCTGTGGTCATTGGTTAGTGAAGGGTAGGGTATACCATGTGTGTGTGTGGGCGGTCTGTACTGCTGCATCATGATTGAGTCCGGGGGGCACACGGCGTGCCACTATTGCATTACGGCCTACATCCCCGGCGTTGTTTTGGAGAGCGGACTGGTTTTGTGAAGAAAGAAGTGCAGCTCGTTGCCTTGACTTGTCTTGGCGACGACGGGGTCATTTCTTGAATAGGAGTGTGCAGGATCTATACGTGCAAGGCGTCCGTTTTTATTTTTTCTTTTTCGACGAGACGCGGTGCTGCTTTCGCTGCTTGCGGGCCGATGATCAAAGTGTGTGGCCAAGACCCAGCCGAAGGTCCTGTGTTCCTAGAAGCATACCACGAACCATCGACTGGTTGGCTCGAGGCCACCGCTGTGCCCACCACCAGCTGTCTTGTTGTTGACCTTGTCGCCCCTACGTGTCGTCGGCCGAAACTGCGTCGTCACGCCTGGTACCTCACTCGGCCGTACCATGACGATGAGTATTCCGTCCTCCCTCTCTCTCTACCGCCCCCGCCCCGCCCCTCCATCAGTGTTTGCCATCGGGGTTGGGTTTTCGTCGCTTGGCAACGACGTTGTAAAACAAGCCAATTCACTTCGTGAACTCGGCAACCAGGTTACCTTTTNAAGGGGGATGATCGCACCACGTTGTGTTAAAATGGTCAAGCACCCTCGAGGCAGTTACACAGATCTTTCAACTGTCTCTGGAAGTGAAAGCACCAGAAAATAAAGTAA